TTATAAGGCCTAGACAAAAGGTACTGATTCTCGTAAAGCTATATGTTTTTCATATAGTGGATCCGCCTCTGCTCATATAGAACTTAAAACTTACTGAATTGTTTCCAATTCTGTTGTCAAAATCATTAGTGCTTGTTGTGGTAAACACTAATGTTCTTTTTATTTTTTTTGGAAGTCATAGGCTCATAGCTAGAGTCTAGGTAAGTAACATGTTATGGTTAAGTTATAAAATAATATAAAAAGAATATGATATTTTAAGAAACAAAGATCTTTGGTTATTATTGATTTGTTACTTGCAAATATTCCCTTTTCCTTTTCTTGACAGCAAATGCAACAATCATTTCAATAGAAATATGAAAGCATATCTTGATTTTACATACTATAAGTATAAGTCATATTAAGAATTTTTGTATCATTCGTTGGTGGGATGTATGTGCAAAATCCAAACAAAAGAAATATCATACTAATTCTCTTGGTAAAGAAATCTCAAGCTTTAACATCCACCAATAACCTGAGTGGTAGCAATATTTCAAGAAAAATTGAAAAAGTTGTAATAATAATTTATTTACAAAGAGCAGAGAGAAACAAAAATACCAGACCAGAGGTCCCCATTAGTGTTGGAGAAAGAGAAAGACATTGAGGAAGCCCTCAGGGAGCAAAACAAGTAATTTGAAAGTGACCTAAAACCAAATGGTCCCCTCACATGTCTCCTATAGAGTTAAAGCAAATTGAAAAGTATACAAATATTCTCAAACAATTAAGTTATCATAGAATTGTCTTTTAATGTGGACCATTGCAAAACACTTTATCACCACAAATAATAACCTCAAAAAAGAATTAAAGATTTAAGTACAATTGAGACTCTCATCAAAATCAAATACTTTTGTCATTTGATTTCCAATGAGCAGAGGACAATTGAAAAGTCTGAAAACAGTCATCTATAAACATGAATACAATGTATGTGGCCATTGGCCAAGTCTTTGAATCTAGTCGTTCGGATTGGATATGAAAATTTAGGTTTTGATTTTTGATTTTCAGATTGAAGAAATTACAATTCAAATAAGCTCGTATTGGATTGGATTTTTTAAGTTCGGTTTTGGATTAATCTGTTTAGATATTTTTAATTTTTATTTTTGACTTTTAAGCCTTTAAGAAAGTCAATAACAATTAACAACCTCAATTCACTTATTAATGATATGCACCTTAGAATGTATAACTTTATCATGGGTAACATGAGAAAGACGAAAAACGTATATTATACTCTCTCTGTCCAGTATTGACTTTGCACACTTCGTAAGAAACTATAAATAGAAGGGTAATTTTACTATATCATCCTTTGAATATAATAAATACAATATCTTGAAAAATGTAATAGGGACATAATGGTAAATTAGGAACTATGTGTAAATTTATCCATTTATTTCATTAAATGGACAGGTATTGTTGGACATCCAAAATAGTATAGTGGACAACTATTGTTGAATGGTGGGAGTATTTGATTTAGTAGAAGTTTCATATAGGGCTTAATATTGTATTAGTGAGTAGGGTTGTAAGGCACTTTCTCTTTCTCTGTCCCTAATTACTTATTCACTTTTGAATTGACACACTTATTAAGAAAACAATGATTGGCATAGTGAGTTTACCATTTTACCCTTATTAATTATGAAATAGATAAATTAAAAATTTAAGACTTTCAAAAAGTTCTACCTTTTTCAAAATTAATTAATTGGGAGTATAATAGATAAATTTTTTTTGTCCTTTCTTGATTTGTCAAAATTGACAAGTAAAAAAGTAAAATTTGACAAGTAATTAGGGACAGATGAAGTACTAATCTGCACCCGTTGGAAACTGAACTTATTAGTAATGGACACATATGATATACGTAGAATTGAATATAATGCATATTTTTTTTTAGATTTTCGTATTATGTCCGAAAATCCATAGCACCAAATTCAATATTCAATCGGAAATCCATAAATTTTAAAAGTAGAATCTGAAATCCAAAGGGATTTCGGGTTGGCATCAGACAACAAAAACTAGTCAGTTACCTATCATGTCATGTTTCTCTTGATGTAGTGAATCCGCTGTTCAATGACTACATTATACATAGGATTCCCATAAACATAACTTGGAGAAATATTTTGTCCAATAATGTTAATGAAGCATGAAATGTTGACAAGAAAGTAACAAAACCAAATATTCATAAAGATAGGGTAGTACTCAACTTGTATAAAGCAGCATAATCAAATAAGAGATTCAAACAAGAAAGATGTTTTTTCATCAAATGTAGAAGTACAAAGTATATATGTGTAACATCACATATAGTAATAAGTTCCTGCAGAAACAACACCTATTAGTGCCAAGGGAATCCAATCGAACTCGCCAACACTGAGCGCCATAGATGCTTGATTGAGGAACACAATATAGCAGCAAAACCTTCTGCAACGTGAGTCGATAACTCATCCTTGATGTGTCAGGTCTAAGAATGGAATAATTCAAGACCCTGTGGACCAGAAAGATACTATTTGCAGAATCACTTTAGTTGCAGCACGGAGATTCTGAATTTCAATCATTAAACTTTCCATAAAGCAACTAAACATGAAAGTGATTGTCCAACTAGCTACTTATGGGTTCCAACCATTTTTCCTGATTGAAAAGGGTGTGACATATTATTCAATAGCACATGGATAAATTTTAGATGTCGTCACAAAGAAACAATGATGTAGATAACCATTATTGAATTCTCATTCTCATCTTTGCTCCATATCAATAGGTTCACTTACTTACTCTAATCTGAGAAGAGCTAAAACAACACTTATTAATTGGAAAATAACCTTTATGCAGATTATCACTAAATCAGAATTCGTCCAATTCGCAATGGCAGGGTATTTAGATGGCTAAAGCAAGAAAAAATATGTTCCTAGATGCTTTAGTTCCTGCATGGGGACTATACAATATCTTTTGCTTGGTCCAAGTTCTAACTTCTAAGACTAGACTAGCTTTGAATCCCATAGTTGATGATAGGCGGAATTCGTTCCCTTGGGCATGTCCAGAGTCTTTTCCCTTGATCTTCATTATAAACATACCGAGTATGCTACTAAGGTCTAAGGCCCTGTTAATTTTTTCGCACTTCTTGTTTACATGTATATATAACCCATTGATGATTCTCATCAGTGAGATGATGAATCTGATCATAAAGCAAAGGCCTCACTCGCATGCCTTTATATATACCTT